GTTTGGTAGTCTCCCTATTAGTCATCGGGGCGGTCTGTGCGTTCTCGAAGATTTTCGCATTTCGAACACGTCGCAAGAATACCGACAATACCCCCTCTAGCACCTCAACGAGAGGGCTGCACACATTAGAGGTGGCGTAAATCGGTTTCTCGCGACGTGTTACCCCTATATCTGATAGAAAATTGACGAGTTTTGATGAAAGATTTCTGCTTAAAAGTTGGTGTGTGTGATTCGCCGTGTAGACATTCACCGTGAGATCAGAATCGGCCTCCCTGCGCTGTCATGGCTTGGCAACGCACGCTCAGGGCAGACGACGGAACCGTACCCGATGCTGTGTGCTCCCCAAGGCACACCTCGATTGCTTGTGTCTTCCTGATGGTCGGCACGGTTCGAAAAGCGTTTCTTGGCTGGTAGCGCCTAGGCGGATACAATGCCAGCGGTATGGTGGGAAAGGATGCAGGTTAAGCGACCAAGTTGCCATGATGTTGTTACGAGGTTGCTACGAGGTTGGCACGGCGAGGTTGACGTAGCTACATCACGTGACATGGTTCGCCGGCTGAACCAGTCTCTTGGGCTGTCCATGTCATGGAGCAAAACAGCAGCGTCCTCAAGACCGGCTCTCGCCGTGTGTCTATCGCGTGTTTTGAACCCACAGGGCCTGCCTACAGGACCCCGGTGCATGGCTAACTGTCGTGTGCCCCTTGCATCCACAGAACCCCTTATCTAACCTCGTCTAGGTACAGATGCAAAAGACCATATCCAAGAGAGCGGATAGAGATTACACGCTGCAGCGGGAGCCAGGGGGATCTCCAGGTTTCCCATCTGAAACGACGATAGCAAGGCCTTCGATTGGTGTTCCATGTCCGCTGTCCATCATGGTGTGGCCTTGATCGGCTCTAGTCTAATTGGTTCGCCGACGTCACCACTTTGAACCCGTTTATGGAGTTTTCAAATGCCTTGGAACAATGGCACACCTGGACATTTAATGTGAATTCAATGTCTTTTGTCAAACGTATCTCCATCTCGCAATCCCGTCTTTTTCCCGTCAAACCAACTCGACTTCAGCCCGTTTTGAGCCGTAATTTCACTAACACGACGCGTCTCCCAAGTCGGTCAACGTCCAAGCCTACAAAAACAAATAACCCAACATCATACGTAAATATGCCAAAGAGAACGTCGTACGAGCGCTCTGAACTCGGCCACACATCGATTAAACGGGCAAAGCAAGTCGATGAAAATCTCCCGTACGACCAGGTCCAGGAAGCACTGGGCGCACAAGATGAAGTCAAAGACGTGACAAAGGTTGCTCACTGGTTTCATCCCAAGGATCTCCGCATTCAAGACAACACCGCACTACACCATGCTTCTGAACTTGCTCAGAGCGCAACGAAACCTTTGATATGCTTTTACGTCGATTGCCCTGCGGACGAATCATGGCATGGAACAAGCCCTGCGAGGGTAGACTTCATGTGCGAGGGGTTAAAGATTATGCAGAAAGAGCTCAAGGAACTGAACATACCGCTAGTTTTTATCGAGTGCCATGACAGGAAGAAGATTGTAGAAACAGCTGTGGAATGGCTTAAGAAACAACGAGTCTCCCATGTCTTTGGCAACTACGAATACGAGATTGACGAGATGCGCCGGGATCTCAAGCTCATCAAGACTTCCGGCTCTGATATTCAGGTCTCTTTGTATCACGACCAAACCGTTGTGGAGCCTGGTACCATGGTCACAGGTGCCGGGACACCAATGAAGGTCTTTACACCGTATCACAAAGCCTGGCTCAACAGACTGCGAAATGAACCCGAGCTTCTTGATACGCACCCTGCACCCGCCGCTAACTCTCCGTCTATGAAGAAAGACCTCAAAGATCTTTTTGACACACCGGCGCCTAAACCGGCCAAGGACAAGCAGTTTGAGTCGGAAGAAGACAAGAAGAGGATACGAAAGTTATGGCCTGCCGGTCATACTGAAGCAGCAAAACGCATGGACAAGTTCCTCAAGCAAATTGATCACTATGCTTCTACACGTTCCAACCCCGCCGCAAACAGTACGTCGCGCATGTCGGCCTACTTTAGCGCAGGCATGTTCTCAGTGCGCGAAGCCCTCCGCAAAGTCGTCGACTACAACCGCGGCAGCACCGACTTCACAGAATCCAAGGCCTCGAGCGGAGTGTATGGCTGGGTGCGTGAAATCGTATTTCGCGAGCTATACCGCCAAACCACCATGACCACACCGCACACATCGATGAATCTCCCTCAGAACCTAAAATTTGACGCCGTGCAATGGGAGGACGACAAGGAGGGCTGGGAAAAATGGTACAAGGGACAGACGGGCGAGCCTTTCATCGACGCAGGCATGCGCCAACTCAACGCAGAAGCCTATATGCATAACCGGCTCCGCATGAACGTCTCGTCATATCTATACTGCAACCTTCTGCTCGACTACCGACGCGGCGAGCGCTACTTTGCGGAAACGCTAATAGACTGGGATCTCTCTAATAACACACAGGGCTGGGAGCCCTCATATACCGTCTTCAACCCCGTGTCTCAAGCCGAGCGCAACGACCCTGATGGCGACTATATCAGGAAGTGGGTGCCTGAGCTCAAGAATGTCAAGGGCAAAGCTGTGTTTGCGCCTTATGCGCGCTTATCAGAGGAAGAGTTTGAGAAGTTGGCGTATCCGAAACCGCACGTGGATTGGAAGGAGACCAAGGCCAGGGCCATTGATAGGTTTAAGAAGGGGTTAAAGGAGGCAGATGTCTAGGTGATTGGACTGAATGCGGTAGTATCATTTGCAGAAATAACAAGAGTTGAATGCTTACGACGCCTTGGTGTTTGGGGCACATGCTATTGTTGTAACTCTCTTGTAGACGGAAATATGAACCAATTCTTCATTTTGAGGAATCGCTCAACGCAGCTTTGAATTGTATTCTAGCCCTAACTGCATTTGCCCACTAAGAGTTCTCCTCACTAGGAGCCTTTGCCTCACCCTCTCTAATGGTCAAATCAGAATCAGCCCTTCCCTCCTTTCCCTTCACAAATGGCACGCTCTCTTCAATATCATGCTGTATAACGAGTCTCTTTCCTTTGACCAGTTGGATCAACATATAGTTCATTGCGCACTTGATGCCCAACTCCTCGCCCCTCTTCACAATCCAGCCGTTGATGTAGTCAATCTCGGTTTGCATTCCCTTTCTTGTATCTGCCAACATGCTGCTGACGTTGTCCCTAGTGAGATTTGCTACAGCAACGACCACCGTCTCTAGACGCCCCGGGTCAAACCGCTGTTGTACATTGGGAATATATTGTAGTTCTGGCAACGAGCGAATGACGAGGCTTATTTCCGAGAGAAGGAGGCGAAAAGTGCGTGTCAAAGCGTAATTATTCAAAATAGCACCGTTTCGCGCGTCGAGAAGAACCGTCAGGGGGTTGATAATACAGTTGACTACGAGCTTATCGAGCTGCATTTGAAGCAGATCTGGAGGCGAGAAAGCTGCGGCACTTAGGACGGGGGTGCGCAAAAGGGTGCGCAAAAGGTAACGCTGGTTGGGTGTAAAAGGAAACTTTGCGCTGCTCGGGGGTGGGTACTCGGGGTTGAGCTCATCAGGGGGACTGGGGTACATTGGTCCTTTGTCCTTCTTAGCGGCAAACTTTGGTTCGGGTAAGTAAGGAGAGTCTGGTCGGCGGTCTCGTTCATGTGGTAGTATTCCCAGGGAGATTGTCCCGAACCCGGCGTGGACGGTTGCGAACTGACCGTCTGGCGAAGTGTGCATTCCATGAGAGTTGATACCAAGCATGTAGTGTGGTCTTGTAGCTGGATCAGGGAAGATATCTTGGTTGACCTCTTCGACAATTCCCATTCCGTTTTGGAGGAATAAGATGACAGAATCCTTGTGTAGTCGGTGCTTTACAGACGACAGACCTTGCAAAACATATGGAGCCTTGGAGCATATGATCAAAGAACCGATGGGCTCTGTTGACTCGCCTTCCAAGATGTTGATGCTTCCCTGCATCCCTACAGCAATTTCCGTTGACGAAGGGACTAAGCCTACCTCTTTCCCGTGATGTCGCATGCGTGGTATAGCCAGTTCCGCATCATATCCGCCTTGCATTTCAGCATTGCCGTCGGTGATCAGAGTCAATTTCTGTGGCGAATCCGTCCACTCCTTCAGTCTCTCCCACCGTGGAAATATGAGCGACACTGGAGGCGGATTGGGGATCCCGCGAAGAGCATAAGCAATGAAGCTTCCCACGTTGCCAATACCCATAATATGAATTCTCCGGTCAACTACAGGTTGGTTGCGATAGAAATCGGCAGTATCACGAGAAGTGTGCTCGGCGAAGGGTTCGTCAAGCGTGTCCGTGCTACAAAGGATGAGTTTCACCGAGATGTGAAGCAGTTTGCATGACGTACGCATTTAACGACTCCTCGTCCATGGCTGCTTTCTCCTCCTTCCTCCAGCTTGTCATGAGACCCCTCGAATGAGGATAAGCCACCCGGCTGGCGCAATTGCTACCGGGGTTCCATCTTACTCGTGTGTATGGTATCCGAGGCCGGAGCCTGGGGATGAATTGTGAGACGAAGAAGGAAGACAGTTTGAACACTGTGTCTTCACATATGCGAGAAAGCCTCAGCTCTGTTAGTGGCGAGGGAGTGTATTCGTCGAGACTTGTGAGGGTTTGGTGGATGACGCTATGATGTATCAGAGGTTGGAGATTGGGGTCGGCGCTAGCGCGGGCTTGCGCTCGGCCCGCAACTTTTCTTTGGACTGCTTCACAGGTTCGCGACGCTATCAACACCACATCGCCCCGCCTGTCGCCCACCGTCGCAAGATTCAGGACAACTGCTACAACGACCGCGACCTGTAGTCTACAGTCATGGATCCGCAAATCGATCTCCCCGAACTCGTAGAGGACCTCGAAGTCAACATTGACGAGCTTTCTACGGCGCTCGAGCCTCTGCTAGCGACACCACTTCACACGACCGCGTCATCATTACCGCTACTCGACAAGGCGAAACTATATTGCCTCTCGGCATACGCCATTGAATCTCTGCTTTTCGCATCGCTGACAGCGTCTGGCGTCAACGCGACGGAGCATGCCATTTTCAAAGAGATTGCGCGGCTGAGACAGTACAACACCAAGATCAAGGTGATTGAGGATCGCGGCATCAAGGGCAGCGCAGAGGGTAGGGCGCGATTGGATGTGGCTGCGGCAGGGCGGTTTATCAAGCACGGCTTGGCAGGCAACGACAAGTATGACCTTGAGAGACAGGAGCGCATGGCACGGGAAAGGGCGAGGGCACACCTGAAAGCTCAGCAGATCAACAAGAAGTTTGATGACGAGGGAAAGGAAGTGAAGGGTGAGGGTGTGACGCCCAAGAAGAGGGGTGCAGACGAAGTCGATGATCAAGATGAATCAGATGAGGAGCTAGAAGGACTGGAGGAATCAGAGCCAGCGATCAAGAAAGCGCGCGTCAATGCAGCCGAACCCATGGATATCGACTCAGAAGCAGCATCATCAAGCCATGCCGACTCGAAGAAGCAAAAGAAGAAGGGCAAAGCAAAGGGGAAAAGAGGACAAAAGAAGAGGAAACAAAGCACAGAAGATAGCGATGTTGAAGCTGGAGACGACGTGGACAAGGATGAATCACTCGCAGAGCCCCAGGCAGAAATGGACTCGACACGACAAGCCAAGCAACGCGGTCGGTTACCCAAAAAAGACAAGAAAGCAGCAAAGCAAGAAGATGGCAGCACAGACGTAGATGCAACGCCTTCGCAAGCCGAGGCACGCGTGACACGAAAACGCAACAAGCGGCTCTCGAACCAAAACATGGACGACGACGAAGGAGAAGAGGAAGGAGATGAAGAAAAAGAATCCATGATGCCAACGCCAGACCGAGCGCCCAAAACACGCAGTGAGACGTTTACGGCGTTGTTGGATGGATCGATAGGCGACAAGCATAAGAAGAGCAAGGCTGGTGGTGGGAAAGGAGGGAAGAGAGGAGGGAAGGGCAAGGGGAAATAAGGGACATTGTAGATTTGAATGTAGGAATGAAGGGGGGAGGAGGAGGGGGAGGAGAAAGGATGGGCGATGATGACTAGTGTGAGGCAACTCCCAACCCTACAGGAAGATGAGTCAGTGTGTGTATATATGTGTGTATAAAAAAATACGAATAATAGGGAGCTTGATGCTTGTCTCACTCTACGTTCCCAGTTGACTGCGGAAAATAAGAAAAAAAAAACAATTACATGTCTATTATTACGGGCATCATCACATGTACAAGACCATGGCCAGTGTTACATTACCAATCCTCTACATACATTGCAACATGGTGGCTGTTCGTCTTAACGCCGTTTCTATAGGCAATTGCCCTCTCTCTACATGATTAGGTTGTACAGCTAGTGTGTAGCTGTAGGCTACAAGATACCTATAAATACAGCATTGTCTGACACGCAGACTTGATCTCCAAGCATCCAAAAAAAAGTCTGGTACAAACTACAAAACCAAAAAAAGAAAGGAATGGGGAAAAGCAAAACCGCATAGATGACCACGACAACACTCATTAAGATTTCTGATGTCTTACTCTCCCCCATCTTGCTCCTCTTTATGTCCTTGTTGTCCTTTGCCCTGCCGACTTGCTTGGTTCATCTCTTGCTAAATGAAACATGTTATCAGTTGTATATATAGTACATTAAAAGGCTAGAAAGAGAGGGTGAGAGCATGAGGTAGAAGACAGAATCAACTTGATGATTCTCCTTATACCTCCTCGTCCTCATCCTCGCCCTCCCTTCCTCGCCTCGACGCGTGCCCCCCGCCCTATGCATGCCGAGAAAATCAAAGAAAACACACAAGGAAAGAAAAAAGAAAAAAAAACAGTGACGACCGCGAACTCCTGGTATATAACACCCGACTCCGGGTCCCAAGCCGTGCCATCCACCCACCCATCCATCCAGGTCAAGCCAATCTTCAGACTAGGCGTGTTGTATACTTGACCTTCCCTTTCCCTTTCCCTCCCTTTTGCACGCCTCAAAACAATGCTCTGTAGATGAAATGTTTACCAAAATGCTAATGTTGTGCTCCTCCTCCTTGAAGCAATGTGCAATGCCCATGACAGCGGAATCCAAAGATGAAATAATGATGTATGGAATATAGGAAAGTGAATTAAGTAGTATGGCAAACCAGCCCGTGAAGTTGGCAACGAATCGGCTTATTCAAAAGCTCCTGGCATGGTGCCTGGAATCCTCAGACTAAGTCGTTCTTCCTTCTTCTTCTTCACCTGTAAGGCAGGCGACGGGTTGGAGGATGATCGCTGGTGTTTTAGCGCCGGCCTTTCGGCCATCCATTTTGCGTCGAGTGATTTCCGGATCTCGCTACGAAGCTGAGCATCTGCTTGTTGCTCACTCGTCTGCTCTTCCGGTGGAGTCAAAGTAGGCGTCGGCTCTGACTGGCTTTGTTCTGTGCTCACAACTGGTACGGATTCCAGTCCCAGGCCCACATTCGTGGTGGTCTCAGGTTCCGACATTTCTGCCGAAATGACGGTGTTGCCAATGGAGATTCGCTTCAGTTTCTCCTGTTCCTTGGCCTGGAACGGATCTTCTTCGCTCTTCCTCGGCTCATTTACCGTCACTGAGCCGTTGACCGTGACATCCCTGGGCTCAAAAGATACCATGCTCTCTTCACTTCGTCTCGGCTTGAGCGATGCAGAGCCATTGGTAAACGTCGGACTCGTGGGACTGTCTCGTAAAGGAATGAAAGCGGGAACAACACCTCCCCCAACTCTTGTCCAGAACATGCGCTCACGAAGCCGAACGCTTTCTTCCCACGCCGACTTTCTCTCCTCTTCTGTTTCAGCGCGCCAGTGGCCGGCAGCGACCATGCGCAAGAAGCCAATGTAGTCGCACGTTGCGCGAACCCGGGCTAAGCAATAGTCGCATAACGGGTAACGTTGAGCATCCTCTGTATCCGACGGCTTGAACCGGAACTTCCGGGCGTACTGGTCGCCCGACCTTGACTCGCCACACAGCGAGCAAGGAAAGATGGGCATGCGGAACCTCGACGAAGAAGCCGGGTTAGGCTCGACAACCAGGGAACCGGCTGTGATGCTGCTGAGGACTGTACGGCGTGCCATCCACGACAGGCCAGGGGCAATGTCCAGACGCAGTGTGGGCTCAATGTCTTCGGCTAGAGCGCGCTTGTAGAATTTCTCGTCCTTGAGGTTTGGAATGTTTGCAGAAGCGCCGGTTTCACGGGGCGAGTGGGTAGTTGGCGTGGATGACTTGGACGGCAAGGAAGTAGTGGAGCTGTTGGTCAGCGAACCAAGGCCAAGGACAGTGAGACTGCTGTAGTTGCCGCTCGAGGCACGACTGGCGGGGGCTGAGCGGGCGCTAATTCTGAGCATGTCCTGGAACTCGGTGAATGCAGTGAGATCGGAGCGTAGCACTGGGTGGATTAGATGGGAAAAGTGAAGCGGGTGGTCGGGGGTGATTTCGTCTGTTCCCGGGGTACTGGGCGTCAGGTTCATGGCCTCGAACAGCTTGCTCATCTTGTCGGCGGGCGTGATGGCGGGCGTCGAAGGGGCCGTGGTGCTGGTGGTGGTAAGAATATGGCTTTCGCTGTCGTCGCCGTAGGAGCTCATTTTCTCGACAACGTTTTTGAGGTCTTGCAGCTGGTCCTGGAGAGAATGCTGCAGCACGGCGGCGTCGCCCAGTTGTTGCTTGAGCTGTTCGCCGCGGCGCTCGGAAGCCTCGGTCTCCTTGCGCGCAGCAGCAACCATCTGGTACTTGTTAGCCATGGACGCGGCCATGGCGCGCAGCAGCAAAAAGTCAAACTTACCACATTGGCCTCCTCGAACAGGGCGGCCGTCAGAGCCTCGACCTCGCCGTCCGTCTTGCGCTTGGCAGCCTCGGCCTGGGCTCTCCGCTTGCGCTCCTCCTTGAGCTCGCTCATCAGCTGCTTCTCCATCTTGTCGTAAACCACCTTTTCGACCAGGAGGCCTTTGGCGACCTTGTTCTCGTGCTCCTTGACCTGGGCCTCGAGGAGCATCAACTTGTCCTTGGCCGCCTCGAGCTCGTGGCGGGCCTGCTGCAGCGAGTCGTCCAGCATGGTCGAGTGGTTGATTGCATTGATGAGTTTGGTGCTGAGCGTCGACACCTCCTGGCTGAAGTCGGGATGCGAGTCGTTGGAGTCGCGTCGCGAGTGCGTGGGCTGGGGCGTGGCGGAGCGCGGGTCGGGGATGGTGTTGATGCCATCGCTCTCCTGGTGGGCGTGCGCCTGCGAGAGCGACTGGGCGGCTTTGGCGAGCTGAGGGGTGGAGATGGAGCGGGTGACGTGGTTCTTGGGCATGGGTGAAAGGGAGCGTAGGCGCGACGGCGTCATGGCGCCCGAGTTGTGCGCCCAAGGGGCCGAATGGGCGATGAAACTAGAGAACAAGGTCATGTCAGCGGCGGCGTCGACTCGCACCACCGGCTCAGGGCTGGTGGTGGTGGTGGAGGAGGAGGAGGGGAAAGAAGAAGACGGCGACGGCGAGGGGAGGTGGAGGGCATGGCGAGGGGGGGAGGGAGGGAGGGGGGCGGAGGGCAGTGGCATTGGACATTGCGCCCTCCTCGCCAGATGCGCGGGATGACATACGCGTACTCGGCCATATTTACAGCCTCGTCCTAGGGAACGACGTTTGTGCTGAGCTAGGTGGGCCAAATCATATCATGGCAACGAGCGACGGGGGAAAGAGAGAGAGGGGGGGAGAGAGAGAGAGGCGCGACGTAGTCGCTTTGATGGAGGGACGCGGATGGGGGTGGGTGGGACGGGTGGGCAAAGGAGTGACGACAGGCACGAGGAGCCTCGGAGGTGTGCGGCCGCGACTGGGTTACAGCGCATACATTGGGGCCAAGACGGGGGGGCTCAACAAGAGGAACAGCAGCAGCGGCGGCGACGACGACGACGACGACAATAAGCGTAGCAAGCGGTAATAGCAGTGGCAGCAGCAGCAGCAGCAGCGGCGACAAGGATGCACAGGGCAGGAGGGGGGGAAAAAGCAGCAGGAGTGTGTAGAGTGGGTAGTGTGAGTAGTGGGTAGTGGTTTGGCGGGTTTCAATAGCAGAGGCTGGGGCTGGGGCTGGGCTGGTGGTTCGCCATGTTCGTGTTAGGCCCTGTTAGGCCGGGTTGGGTCGTGGCAGTGGCTGCGCTGCGACCGGAGCCCGGCGCTTACCCCCTCGTGTCTGGTATACTATGCTGCTCGCAGGCCTAGTACCGCCCAGCGTTGCCGCGCGAAGCCCTCGGGCCCAATCCCATGCACATGCACATGGACACACCACGTCCAGGTCACGCCCGCCTCTCTTCCGCCGTCTCTGGCACACGCTGCGCTACCACCATCACTGTACCCAGCTCCCACCTTGACATCATCATGCACAGAGTTTCATGCCGAGTCTTTGCGCCTTGCTATGCCACCAGACACCAGCCCGCCAAGCCCCATGTGCCGTCATTCATGGCCCGCGCTAACACGTCTTCGTCTGCCTGCTCTTGCACCTGCCCTCCTCGTCCTCGTCCTCGTCCTCTCCCGCTTAATCCGCCCTGCCCAATACAAGCCTGCACACCCGCCCCCCATACCGCCCTCTTCCCTGCACTTGCATCATGGCCATCACTGTCACCCTCATCGTCATCATCATCACCACACTCACACTCACACCCTCACACGCCACATGGGGGATACGCATACTCCATTTCGACGCTACTAGCTTACATCTTGATCCTGCACCCCCCCGACAACCCTTGCTCTTTCAACGCGACAAAACAAAAAATCGAAAGAGAGAGAGAGGGAGAAAAAGAAAGAAACAAAAGAGGAAGAGAAAAGAAAAGAAAAGAAAAATGACAGACATTATCTCATGTAAGCCTCTCACTGCCCCACGACAGAACAGTCCACGAGTCCACAACGGATCAATAGCCTTTGACAAGCCCAATCCAAGGCCCTGCGATAAACTCCCGCATGCTGCCCACGCACACACACACACACTCACGCACGCACACACGCACACACACGCACTAGACAACCCACACCCCTCATCGTCATCCAGTCGCCCATTGTACACCTAGAACATGCAACAACCATAACACCCTATCCACGGCCCTTGATCATCATGTCCGTCTCTTTGCATGTCATGCTTGCTGCTTTTTTTTTCTCTTTTCTTTCCACGTCTCTGCTAGCCTACCGTTGCGCTGGCTTTTCCGTGCGTGCTACAATATCCCCCATCTTGCTGCTGCCAATCAAGTCCAAAACGTAATAAAAAAAAGCCACACTCTTATCTTGCTCGCTTCCTCCGGGCAACCGCCGTCAACCGCAGTTTTTCCCGTCATCAGTCATTGCGCGCAGCCCTACTCCAGGGACAAGAATGAACCACAGCATCGTCTACAAATGTACAGGGCCGTCTGTCGTGCCAAAGCGTGGGTAACGAAATCGACATCGCGTGTGTTTCCGGTCGTTCGCCATCGGGACTCGGGGGGGCTAACCATTGCCATCATCTAACGGCGCCCAAACCTGCTGCATAAGAAGTTCGTATTGGTTCTCAATCAAGCTCGTGGCCACTACTTCGGGGATGGTTTGGTGCGCGACCCATGTCGGCTGCTACCAAGGTTGGGAACATACTTTTGTTTCTTCTCCGCGGGCTTCAGGATCTATAGTCACACACACACACACACCCGTCAGTGCTTGCATATACACACGCAGCTGCCTGCAAAGTCGCGCTAAAAAAAACATACCTGGAATGAGCACAGCAGACTCTCGTCGACGCTCATCATTGCGCCTGCATTGTCGAATTCACCGCAGTAGTTGGGTGCACTGAACAGTGTCACAAGCTGTCGCTTAGAGAAGAACTCATAGCCGTCTTCCACCACCTGATGCGCACGGCAGATGAGGTCCATGTCATGCTTTTGCAAAAAGCGAGACACGACATCGGGCCCAAACGTGAAGCTGACGCCTCGGTCGTTCTCGCTCCACCCAGTAATGTCCTTGTCTGGGTCCGACCAGAGTAGATCGCAGAGAAGACCACAGTCGGGAATCTACACGGCCCTGTCAGTACTTGCCTTGCACTCGCTTGGCCGGGCCACGGTGCCCGCGCGCTCCCCACTCACATCGGTAGGCCGCATCACACGCCGAATCTGCTCCATCGAGTTGAGGTCTGGGCTCAGCCCGCCGTGCATGGTGAAGATCTTCTCGTCAATGATGGCGGCAATGGGCAGGCAGTTGAAGCAGTCGGTAAACGTCTTCCAGAGCTTGATGTTGTATCTTCGTTTGCACTCGTCGTAGAATCCGTAGATGCGGTTGATCGAGGCGCACTCGTGGTTGCCACGCAGGACAAAAAAGTTCTCGGGGTACTTGATCTTGTACGCGAGCAATAGGCATATCGTCTCGAGCGACTGCTTGCCACGGTCCACGTAGTCACCTAGGAAAAGGTAGTTGGCCTCGGGGGGGAAGCCGCCATACTCGAACAGCCGCAGCAGGTCGTAGTACTGGCCGTGGATGTCTCCGCAAATCTGCCCACATGTACTCGTCAGTAGGTGCTCTGAAGCCGTGCACTGGGCTTTGCAGCACGCGGGCCGTGTCACTGACCTTTATCGGTGCTTCAAGCTCGAGCAGGATGGGCTGTGAGATGAAGATTTCGCGCGCCTTGGTGCACAGGTAGCGGATCTCTGTTTCCAGAAGCTGCACCTGCTTGCCGGGCCTGCTGCCGCGGACCTCGAGCAGGCGATCTATGATAGAGTCCAAGTCCACCTCGTTTTCGGCCATAGCTGTGACTTGCTACTGGCACTGGCTTCGGTGGGCTAAAGGTGCAAGGAAGAACCTCGCGTGGGTAGGTGAGGAAGATTGGCGCGTGGCACTGGCGATGGCTTTATGCGTCGACTGTCTGTCCTTGCTGCGGCCAGTGGTGTTAGCGGCACTCTAGTCGTCGGCTTTTGGCAGGTCCAAGGTGACGCAGCCGAAAACACGCCAGGCGGCGGCGGCAGGGCAGGGCAGGGCAGGGCAAGAGCGTGTCGTGCACGACGACGACGGCTGCATCTCCAGACGTGCATCGCGTCGGGCTCGCAGCGACAGAGCAAAGAAAGGAAGGGAACAAAGGGCAGGGCGGGTGACGTACCTGTGGTGTGAATGAATCGACAAAAATGGAGCGGCAGGTGGTTGCGGGCTGTCGCCGTGTGGAGTATGGCTCAAAGCCCCTCAAGAAGTGCCTGCTGGCAACGCTGGGATCACGCGACGAGTGGGGCGGCTGCAAATTGCGCTGGTCAAGAGGATGGAGGAGGGATGGTGGTCCAAGGTCGAGGGTCGAGGGTGCATGGCAGGCGGCGCGGGCCCAGACTACTGTAGCAGTAGACATGTGTGTGTGTGTGTTTTTGCTAGCGGCAGTTGCACCCGGTCAGCTGCGAAGGGGGGGGGGTGAAGAGCGGCGGGTGCCTGGACAGGACAGCGCACGTTGGCGGCGGCACTCGGGGGGACTGCAGAGGACAGAGGACAGAGGACAGAGGGCAGAGGGCAGAGGGCAGAGGGCAGAGGGCACAGAGGGCTTTGCACACGCCGTCTCTGCGCTGCGCTGCGCTGCTCTGCTCCCGTCCGTCTCCCATGCCAGCGGCCGCCGCCTTCCCACAGCCCCGACGCGCGTCTCTGTTGGGCTAGCACAGCTTTGGTGCCAAGCCAGGCCTAGGTCTGAAACCGTGCCTACTCTGCAAAACTACTCGAGCGCTGTGATCCTCTCTACCACCGCAACCCAACTCGGCCTACCATCGACTGCACACCCTTTGCCACGCTCGCCCCCGACGCTGCAAGCCCTCAACCAACTCTGCTCGCTCGTCGCCAGCCCAGCCTACGTCTTTGAGCACCGCCCGTCCCCCCCCGCCCGTCCCAGGCGGTGAAGTCACTCGCAGCCATCCCACTCGACAGGCTCCCGCCCACAACAACGCCTCAGCGCCCCCCCCCCGCCCTCCTCGCGCTCGACTGCCCACGGCGCAGCCCACACAGGTATCCCCATATCAACAAGCACAACCCTTTCGCCTCGCCCGGTGCTCGGACGGCCCCCGTTGGGAGTTCTTGCGAGCCCTTGGGTACCATTCCCACGCCCGCACGTCCCCCATCCGACTAAGCATTTATTATGCCTTGTTTCCCATGCGCCCGCTGGCACAGCAGTATTATTCATGTATTAATATGATCATCATACACACACACACACACAGTACTGTATATGTAAGCCTAGCTAACACGCAGCCCGCGCTTTCGGCCTCGCCAGCCCGTGTCCGCCTGCTTCGCCGCTAGGCTGGGTGAAGCTCTTCTCACGTGGCCATGACATCCGCCCTACGTGCACATCGTGCCGGGCGGCCCGTTCGACTCTGTTCATATCCATGTACCTCGCCCGGGAGCTACCAACAACCTAGTCATGGGCCTGGTTCGCGTCACCAGAGCCTCACCTCACCTCACGGCGCAAGCCCAGCACTTTGCCATCCCCATCGCCTGAGACATGCGAAGCCAGCATCCATCTTCTATTTCATGCCAACATCTACCAAACATGCGCGCTCATTATGCAATACATCAAACAACGCCCCCTCCCGCTCCTCCTTCTGCCTGCGCCCATGTCTGACGTCGCTTCCTCGTACAAAGAGAAAAAAACAAGAAGAGAAGAGAAAAGATATCTTACAGAACCCAACCTGACCATCTGGGAATGCTTCCAATATGAACCCGACTACAGCCACCTTTCCATGACATGGGTAGAGAGATGCCGCGAGCAACTCGAAACAGACATCAGAGGTAGCTTTTTTGATCGGTACAACGAGCGTAGCACATTGCGGCATTCAACCCCATCGTGACCCGCTAGCCATCCAACGCCTTGCATAAACACATTAATAACAAGAAAAACCTGAGAGACAAAGTAGGAGCTGAATAAAATAGAAGAAGAAAAAAAAATCCCCCCCACACCTTTACCGCCTCGACGAGGGACAAACTGAGCTGAAGAACCGAAGAATGAAAAATCTTTTGGGTATCGCAAAAGTGTGCAAATCAGGTAGGGTTAGCAACGGAAAATGCTACAAGACGTTTTGGCACCCTGGTCTCGTGCTAAGGGTGCACGTGTGCCTTTCAGCCAAGAGTACGGCCCGAGACGATACTCTGGCTCGGTGTGCGGGGCAGTGTCGGTTGCATCGTGGGAGAGTTGTACCCTCGGTCTGATGGGAAGCTGGTCACTGACGTCGAGTCCCAATTTTCATCCCCCAGTGCGCTGAGCCAGGTATTCCCAAAATCTTGCCTAAGCGCCTCAATCTTCTTCTTGTAAAGGTCGTCTCCATCCACCACCTCATAGTCGCTAGACGGCGGTTCGGCGCGCTTGCTCGTCGCCGTCGTCGTGTCGATGGGAGGTAGCTGCTGATGGCTCGTGTGAGTCTCGTCTGCGACAGCGCGCCCGTCTGACGTAGTCTTCTTGCTGCCATCTCCTGTGCCCTTCCCCTTGGCCTGCTCCTCAGATCGAGCTACGTCGGCGGCCGCATTGTTTGGCTTTGTGAGTTTGGGCGCCTGGCCCATGACCGTGTCCTCGTAAGCGAGACTTGTCAGAGCCGACTGCGAAGACTGTTGCATGGATTCATTCTGCGAAAGCTCAACGATGCGTCTCTTAGGGCCCTTCTTCTTCTTTTGCGTGTCCTGCCCACTGCGGGACCCGCTCTTGGTGCGATGGAGGGAGCTGGTGCGCTTGAGCAGTCCAGGCATATCCGGCGGCGTGTCGACGGCTTTGACAACCTTGGGGGGCACATATGGCAACGACTGCGACTCATCCTCGGGCGGGGGTTTGACGACAGGGACTGCATGCAGCTCGGGCACTCGGTCAACGAGCTGCTTCTTCTCGGCGTTGTTCGGCCCTGTAGAATCGATGACAATGTCCTCTGTATAGCCTGGCGTCTTGCGGAACAGATTGAAGATGGTGACCCTGTAGTTGGCGTGCGTCTTGCAAAAGGGATTACGGCCAACGTAAACGTCGGTTATGTCGGGTACGCCCGTGAGACGCGCCACTTCGGTGGGATCCGTCAAACAGTTGTCACGGAAGTCGACGCGCTCTAGGGACAGCAGCCGCTCGACGCCGACCAATGACGTCAGGCGGTTCGACCGGAGATTCAGAGTTGTGATTGCTGGGAGGGGGTTGCGTCCCAATGAATGCAACCCATCAATCATACAGTTGGAAAGATTCAGTGCACGGAGACAGGTGAGGCTAGCAAGACTCTCGGGAATTTCAACAAACAAATTAGCCGAGAGATCCAGCGACTGCAATGTATTGGTTAGAGGGGCGAGGCTGGCAGCCGGTATCGTGGTCAAGGCATTGTCGGCCAGGCTCAAATGCCTCAAGAAGCGCCATTTGGTAGCGGGGAACCAGCCCAGAGAAAGCAAGTTGGAAGAGCTGCCGCGCGGCGTAGTAGAGCGTACGCTGGAGCTCGAACTTCCAGACGAACGGCGAATGTTTGGAGCACTTGCTGTGCTCCTGCCATGGGCATGAGAAGAGCCATGGCGAGAGCTCGACGGGCGCGATGGAGACGTACTCCGCTGTCGCTGGTGAGACCTGGACGAGTTTTCGCGGCTGACCGTGGCCCCCCGTGGGCTGGTGCTCTGCTTGCCGGCTGCAGTGGGAGAGATTGGTGGGGACTCTGATCGAGCTAGTTGAGCATGCTTTGGGGAGGGGCTTGCAGTGGACCAGGGTGCGCTAGTTTTGGCCGAACGCCTACGACGCTTGTCAATATCATCCAACACGATGTTGATGAGCAGATCAGCGGGGTCATCAACACCTGCGCGCTTCACCGTCAGACTGCGGAGGTTCTCGGCCAGCCGGTCCCAGCCGTAGAAATGGCGAAAGTCTACATCGTGTATCTCAAGGGCTGTGACATTCTTGAAGGCGAATAGGGGGACCGCAGTGTCGAAGGGAAACTCTTCATAGCCTGCGATGAGGCGGGCCTTGTGGTCAGGAGCGAGCCTCAAGCACGGAATCTTGGTAAAGGCAGAATACAGATACCTCAAGTCTTCCTGCAGCTGGGCCTTTTGTTTCTCTGCTTTGGCTTCACTGTTGGATCCGATACGGAGAGTGGACCAAAGTGACGACATGCCTGACATCACGCTGCGGACGCTAGATACGGAATGTATGGAGTCGCGATCGGAAGACTTTGTCTTGTTGCGCTGGGCGCTGCCAAGGAAGGAGACATAATTGGTGGGTGAGGCATCGGTGTGGATGTTTTCTAAACGCACATTCATGGGGCCGACAGGTATGCCGAGGTCCTCGAACCGGGAGAGGATGTAGAAGAGATGATGGGGTGTCAGTGTGAGCTTTGCCGGCTTGATCGACTGCGAGGTAAAAGTCAGCGAGGGCAGAGAGAGGGCTGCTGCCCAGACGCTCGATGACGAAGACGCGGACGAAGGCGGGCTCGCGGGGCCGCTGGGCGACGAGGGCGAGGCAATGGCCTGGCCATTCCTGGGGTTCTGTCTCTGCAGCTGCAGAGCGTTTGCAAGGGCCTTTTCGTGTGTTCGTACAAAGTACGCCAAGTTCTGGGAGGCGCGTTAGTCACAGTCCATGTGGTGTTGCAGGCCGGCGCCATTGTGTCTCGCACCCTTATGAAGATCTGGCCGTCCTCGGTGTCCATGGTGATAGACTAGCAACCAGCGACCGCATACAGGGCCCGGCAGCAGTCTGTGTATAGTACGACGAATGTCGGGGCGGGCGGGATGCTAGCGAGGGCCGTGGGGGTGGGTGGTGGCCAGTTTCAAACTTTTTGTGCCGCGGGGAGTTGGCGAGGCACCTCCGCTGTGGGACACGGGCGACCTAGCAGGAGCTGGAACGAGTCAGTGATGGGTGGTGGTGGTGGCGGTGGTGTTGTTGTTGTTGTTTGGGCAGAGCGATGGGGGGACGGGAACGGGGACGGGGGCAGTGGGTGTCGACGAGAGGGCGATGGGGGACGGGGCTTGGCAGTGGGGGATTGGAGTCGACATGGATACATGGATACGTACAATAGGGACTCGGTCGGTCGTCGTATGCCCTGGGCAGGTAGACCTAGGTAACGAGCGAACGGCGGCGGTTGGGGGCAGGCAGATAATATGCAGCGGCACACCACCACTACTTACCACTACCACTACCACTACCACTACCACCACCACCACTACCACCACCACCACTACCACCACCACTGCCACGCACTAATAACCACCGCCACTCACTGCACGCCTATTGCTACCACCACCACCACCGCCACCCTTGCCGACGTCCGACCGCCGTCTTGCCAGGCTGCCGCTGCTAGCCCCTCCAGATCTCCGGCGCGCGACAAGACGGCAAGCCGTATTCGGGCAAGCCAGCCAATTTCTCCCCCCCCCCCCAAAAGCATTCACCGTTGTGTTTGCCCACAACAAGACGACGCCCCCTGTGCGAATCAGCGCCGCCTTTCATTTTTTTTCGCCCTTTCTCACCTGTGCTTGCACCTCTGGCCAGTGCGCGCCTCGCGTCGTCTTTTTTTCCTGGCCACTATTCTCCCTCCCTATCCCGGCCGCCCGCTGCATCCGCTGCTGCACCTCTCTTTGGCTCACGCCTGGAACACGCCGCTGCGCTTGCTGCCTCTGTGCCACCGCCGCCCGCACCACCCCCTGGTAAGTAGTGGTAGTGGTAGAGCACGACACGATGGCATGCGCACGCAGCAGCCCAAAAGCATCCAGTCGACACGACAGGGCATCAAAAGACAGCCTCTGCACTGACTCTGGGAATGGAATCCCTGCAGGCGGTGATTGGCTCGCACCCAGATAGCGCTAGTGGATGCGCCTTTGTTGCATCCCTGCGTTGAATCTGACACGGCTTTGGCCTGCTCTCGTCGCTCGCTCTCCACGGCCCATTATCCTGGCGGCCTTTGCGACAAGACAGACACAGAATACCACTCCATTGCGCCTAGCGCCCCGCGAGGCCAAGGGCTGATGCTGGCTGGGGCCTTTGCACGACGGACAGCAGCCCGCCAGCCAGCGCGTGCCGTGCAGGAGCTGCGTATGTGAGTTGTATCTAGTATGTGGTGGTAGTGGTAGTGGTAGTAGTGGTAGTAGTGGCGGTAGGAGTAGAAGAAGAAGTAGTAGCAGCAGTAGCTGGCATCAGATGCGATGCTGGGCACTGACGCCATACTGTATGGCTGCATCCGCTCGACTCGAGGCCCGCCATGAGATGTCAGAGGATGCGCGTCACACGGCACGTCACATGAGGCATGTATCATGTAGGAATGCATGTGTATACATGTGTGTGTGTGTGTGTGTGTTGCTGCTGTTGTGGCGGTCGTCTTGTTGTGGGAGCCAAGCCTGTGTTGGACCGCCGACAGCCAGCTCAACACATGGCTGCGGCCGTTGGCAGGGCCTTGTTGAGGCCATCCAGGCCCAGCATCGCATGGCTCGACAGCGGGTTGCGGCTATGCGAGTACTGTACTCGCACTCGTAGACGGGCGCGGGTGTCGCTATCAAACACGATGGTAGCGCCAGATGGCCCACTCCTTTCCCCACCCAGCGCGCACGGGCCCAGCACGGCGGGCAAGGATGCCCAGGCGCACGGGCCCATTTGACGGCTCCAGCAAATGCCTCTGCCCAAGCCCGCCACCATTGGGTACACACTACAGACATGCACACTACAGTACACGCTACGACTGTCTGCCCATATCCATCCAAACACACCCGCCGTGCCTTTGCCTGCAAACATGGCGGCTCAAGCCACGTTTGCTGAGGCTGGCGCTGCGCGTCCTCTTTGGGTCTCGGAACGCCAGCGCCAGCACCAGCGCCCACCCCCACCTGCCTTTTGCGTGACAGCTGGCCCCTCCCTGCAAACCCCTCAACACCACGCGCAACATGTCTCGACGAGGCCCTCTGCCCACCCACACATGTCGCTCCATAGTATACGCACACGCACACTCGCACACTCGCACACGCTCCCTCGCCCGCGCCCGCGCCCTCGTGCCCTCTGCACCCTCTGCACCGATGGCTGCCTCCCGCCCGCCAATCCTCTCCAGCCCCCTCGACACCCTGTCTGTCGCACACCATGGCGTGCTTCGGCTCTGTTCTCATCTCACCGCCATGCATGCTCGCGTAAGCAGGAGCGTGTAGCTGGCCCCCGTTGCCATGCGAGCGTGCTGCTGGACGCGACCCGGCCCAGCCTGGCCGAGCACAAAACCAAACGGCCAGCAAGCTAAACGCCCCGTGAACCAAACGGCTGGACATGGCACTACTGCAGCCAGTACAAGCACATTGTGTAGGGCAGATGCCGATGCGGCAAACAGGTCCACGCCCGCCGAAATGGCGCCATTGGCGGTGAGGCCCTATCACTGTGGCTATTGAGCCATGGCAGACGTTTTGCACCGCCTTGGCCCACGACGACGAAACCCATCCACATGTGTGTGTGTGTGTGCATCTGTACCCAAGGCCATGTCCACGTCCAAGTGCCGCCGTACCCGTCGCATCATGGCCGTGACTGGTTCGCGTCTAGCTGTCGTGGTCGTTCAACACTACTGTACATGGATACTAATCATGCCATGGCTGACATCATGGCGCATCTGCTGCCACTGCCACTGCCACTGCCACGACCACGACCACTCTCCCCAGGTGCTTCATCCGCGCTTCCGCCTCCCTGGCCCGCCGAGCAGTCATGGCCTCGGAACAAGCCTCCCAGGCCAAGGCCACGGGCAAGGGCCCCGTAGTCTTCCAAATTTAAAACCCCCTAGTGTTTGTGCTCGCTCCCAGTCAAGTATGACGTATGCACCTGCATCCCCTCGAGCCCTGCCTCTACCTCTGCTTTGCCTCCACGTATAGCGCCAGCAGCCTGACGTCCCCTTTCTTTTTTTCCCTCTGTTTCTTTTCGTTTCGTTTCTTTTTTACTACATGGTTATCCAATGCACACTTCAACTACTTCACACCTCTCCCCAAATGCAGCTTCATCCCGATTCATGCAGCAGCGTGTAAACAAAGCCACAACTACTATTACTAAGTAGTACAACGGTCCCTTCAGCGACATGGACCGTGCCAAATTACCCCACCACCCCACTCCTGCCCCGGCCGCATCATCAAACTCACGCGACTGGGTGTAGACAGTAGACGCAACACATACACACAAACACACATGCACACACACACACACACCAGCGTCCCGCTACCTTCGCAATGCTCATCACAGAATCACACAAAGATATGCCGACCAAGGCCGGCGGTGACATGAGTCGGTGGACCTGGCGTGCATCGGCCACACATCCCAAACTGACCCAGTACCAGGAATCTTCATCTTTCACCCCACCATCCCAAACTACCCAAAAGCAAAGTTCCCTGGCGTCGTCGTCTTCTCCGAAATCTATCAAGGTAGCCCTGCTTTTTTTCAGTTACAGAGTTTAATTCGCCACGTGGATCAATATGATCCTGTTGGGACCCTGTTTCATTCATCCTTCCCATGACATGCCCAATCGCCTCGACTAACATGCTGTGCAGTCACTGGTCCTGTGGCTCGCTTCGCGCGACAAATTGCTTCCCAGGGCTATATTGTTGCAGCGCCCTCGTCCTATCACGAATTCACCGGCCCCGAACCACTTGCTTACGATGGCCCTGGAACTGACAAGGGCAACGAGTGGAAGATAACAAAGACCGTCCAAGCCTACGATGAAGACGCCGCCTTATCAATCGATGCACTGCTTGACCTGCCAACCTGCAATGGCAGGGTTGGTGCCACTGGTAAGCAAAATAGCGCCTCGTTGCCATTCAGAACACCATGATTTACTTGTTTCGCAGGCATGTGCCTGGGTGGGCATTTGGCATACCGCTGTGCTCTGGATCCCCGTGTCGTTTCGGCAATCTGCTACTTTGCGACCGACATTCACAGCGCCACATTAGGAAAAGGCAAGAAGGACGATTCGCTTGCTCGCGCAAAAGACATCAAGGGGGAACTCGTCATGATATTCGGTAAAATGGACACCCACGTACCACCCGCGGGCCGCGACTTGATCAGAAAGACGCTCCATGAAGCCGGTGTTACCTTTTCATTCTACGAGCCGGCTTGGGCCCAACGTAAGTCTAATGCGTTGATAAATTTACGTTGCAGTGCTAACAAGGCTAACAGACGCTTTTATTCGCGACGAACTAAGCAAGGGACGCTATGATGCTGCTCTCTCAGGCATCTGTTTTGAGATGCTCAAAGAGCTCTTCAACCGCACACTACGCTCTGATCTCGGACCACCATCTGGCACCGATGTCGAGGTTGAGGATGTGTGTTGAACTTGGCCGATGGCCCATTCGCAAGTGTGGAGACTGATATTATAAAACCACGTCCCTTTTTGGAAGCCCTTTAATAGATCCAATTAGTGGTCGAGCATACGCCCCAGTGCGGGACACGCATGTCTGCAAAAAAAAACCCCCCTCAATGTCGCTTATCATGTTGGCACCCGACCGAGAAACAAAACTAGTGGTCAGGGCGACCCAGCCAAAGCAAAGTGTATCCTCCACGTGAGTGATTACAGGGGTAACGACAGGAGCAGCCAATGAGCATGCTGGTGACGTCCACACACGCCAAGCCGTGCGAAATGCGCTAACACCGGCGATGTTTCTCGAACCTCGGAGGTTGACCAAGTTCAATTTGCCATCGCAACCGCAACCACAACTGCCATTCTGCCACATTTCACCAGCACACGACTCCAACAGCCCAACACTTCAACAAGATGCCTCGTCAGCGCTCCGGAACCGCTCCTCCTCGCCGCCCCCAGGTCCCCGCGGCTAGGCAAGCGACCACTGCGCCTGCGCCTCCATCATCGCGACCTCACTCAACTGCTGCAGCTCCCGCCCAGCACGCTCCCACCCATGCGCCTCCGCAGCAGCAGGTGCAGGCTCCTACACCTCAGGGGCCTGGGCTGTTTGGGCAGATGGCCAGCACGGCTGCGTAAGTAGTTTTAGGCAACCATATGTCGACCAGCATTGACACGACTATAGCGGTGTTGCCGTAGGATCCTCAATTGGCCATGCGGTTGGCGGATGGTTTAGTGGCGGTTCCTCTGCTCCCGCCGATGCCGCGCCCCAAAACACTGAATTTGCTGCACAGCACCAGCCGGCCGGCCAGGCATCCGCTCAGATGGCCCAGTCGGGACCCTGCGCAAACGATGTGCAAAGCTTCCGCAAGTGCATGGACGAGAATCAGGGTAGCCTGACCATTTGTGGGTGGTACCTGGACCAGCTCAAGGCGTGTCAGGCAGCAGCTGGCCAGTACTAGGTGTGGTCTAGGACCTTGAAACTCAAGGCAAAGGAAAAAGAAACAAGATGGGAGCATGTATGAATACGGAAAGGTTATGAAATGCATCTTGGAGCGCATGGAGCAAATAGTGCATTTGAAGATTGCAGCCTTGATGCAGCGTCTTGTCGACCAATCAATCACATCACCACTTCTCTCTACATGCAACTTTTAATGGCTTTTGCACTTTTAATGGTGTGCATTTTGCTTAGGATGAAAATGGCTGCATAGAGCCGGAGCAGCGGGAAACTCTGCTGCAACTATTTCAACGACCTTGTCACTTTACTCATGTGCACAATGTTGTTGTCCTTGTTTCCTTTTTCCTTTTCCTTGCCCTTGCCCTTGTCTTTGCCCTTGCCCACATACAACTGGGAATATTGCATCTCTTCTTCCTCGTCTTGACCGTTTTTTCGTTCAATTTCACCTTCACCTTCATATCCAGAGTCGACGCGGCGTCTTTTGCTGGCGCTTGTCGTGGATGGACCGGCGTCGGGGTCCGAGTCAGCTGGCAGATTGCGTCTAATGAATCCATGTATGCAGTACTGGTTTGCTTGTTGGCATTCTGGCTCCGACGAGTTGTACTTGTTGTTGTTATTGTCATCATTACCATCATCATCATCATCTTCTTCTTCTTCTTCTTCATCTTCATCGTCGTCGTCGTCGAGCGCACTAGAGTCAAAGTTGTTGTCATGGTTGCTGTCACGATGAAACACAGGCAATGTCTCTGGACTCGCGGATGCTTTCCGTTTGAGCAAGCATTGTCGTCCCTGGAGCAAGGCGCGCATGCGAGCATGCTGCTGTACCTGCTGTATCTGCTGCCGCATTTGTATTTGTATTTGCTGTTGCTGCTGGGCCTGCCGCTGTGCTCGTTGGCGCTGGAGCGCTTGCTGCTGTAGATATACATATGCGTATTTTTGCGTCATGTATTGTTTTTGAGCCGTGTCCAAAGCAGTGGATTCAATTGAATAAGGGGTTGGCGGCAGCGGCAGCGGCAGCGGCGGCGGCGAGTGCAGATTCATCTGGTTAAAGGGCGGTTGGACGAAGCTGCGGCATACAGAGTTGCCTGTCATGGGGATGCCTTCCCTGGCTATGGTTTCAGAGTCGAGAACAACGGGAGATTGGGAGCTGGAACCGGGCAGTGGCTCGTCTTGCTGAGTTGCATCTTGCTCTTCCCATATGTGCGAGGGGTACGTGTCGCTTTCGAGGAACCGGACAATGCGTGTTTGCATTGTGCGTTTCTTTCGTTTTTCATTCTCCAAGTACGTATGCCAGTACCGCAGCAGCTCCGCTCTAATGGCTCGAAATGCAATGACGTCTTCCTGTTCGCGTGCGACCCTAGCTCGGTGCAGAAATGTGTGTCTCCCGGTTTTAAAGGTAACGTCTGGCACGTGGCCAGCGAGCTCCGTGTAGAAGTTGCGGAATTCGGTAAACATTTTGCGGATCAGTGGCTCTGGCGTGACATTTGCAGAGCCTTCTGAGGAAATCTGACGTCGCCAATCGTCAGAATAGGCGTCAAATGCTGGCATGCCAGGAAACAGCACTGGGTTGTCGGTAGGTAAGGAGGGCACAGAACAAAGCTCGTAGTAGCTCGGGAGCGATGACTGTATGCATCCATGACCAATTGAAATGGGAGACCGTGCAGTGACGGTCTCAACACGATACATGGAATTGTTGTTTGGCTTTCCATTGAACACACCGCCGAGGCTTGGTTGGCGCACATTACGCAGTCGTTCAAAGGGGCTGAGGAGCAGCTTTGCGTTGGACAGAATTTGCTCCTCTTCCCAGACAAAGTCTGCGAGGCAGAGTCGAACTTGGAGCTTGTAGAGCTTTTTCGCTTTTGCCAAAATGCCCGAGACGACGACGGAGATGTAATCTGCGGTTGTCAGAAGCCGTGTTGGAGTCGGAGAAGATGGAATCACCTCTGATGTCGTAAATCTCGACTTCCTCATCCCAGCGGGAGTTCATGACCATGCTGACAGTGCTGCCCATGTGGTTGGGAGTTGGGCTGGTCCAGTTCTCAAGCAATATGTCGACAGTGTAGTTCTTGACCGCAGCCCAGTCAAAAGATTTGAGGAACTTCTTCTTTGCCTGGTCGGCTTCATCAGCCAAGTGGTGCGACGACCCATCTGCCCGCCGGGGCTCCAGCAGTCGGCGTCCACACATAAAGGTACCATCTTTGCGGACGTCAATTTTGAACGTGATGAGGCTGAAGAGGAGATGTTTGACTTCGTCATGGAGCTGGCGAGAGACGAGGAGCAAGTCCAAGAGGCGCATGGGAAACTTGGATCTTGGTAGTCGTGCGGCTCGCATGGGGTTCGGATAAGGGGGGTAGGTGGGAAGACATGAGCGACCATGTCGCGGATACATGGGCTCGGGGGAGTGGTCATGTACGGCGGCTGTCGAGGAGCCTATGGGCTCCGTGGGCAACAAGTATCGGTATATTTCATGGCGAAGTTCGAGTGGCAGCTGTTTTAGAAAGTAACAAGGGGTACCTGGGTGACCTTTGTGTTTGTCGCAAAGCTCAAAGTAGGGGGGTTTCCAGGGAAAAAGCCTGCCACATGTGTCGCCATGGGCATGCTTGAAGCGACACCAGCCCGCAAGGCTTTGCTGATCACGGTGAGCGGCGCATGTAGGAAGGAAGGTGGGATGGAGTTCTTTCTGTGCCCTTCTCCCGATGCTGGCACTGCAGCGCATGTTTGTCTTTTTGGAGTAGCCTGAGCAGCGCTTCAAAAAGTTGTCTGGGTCCATTGAAGTGGGCGGGGGAAAGTCGAGTCAATGGGGGAAGCAGGAGAAGGGGTGGGGCGTGGCAGTTTATCGAGGCAAGAGGCCGCCGCTTGATGGCCGTGGTGCAGGCCAGGCATGTGGTGGAGAAGGGCAGAGATGATGGAGGAGCTGGAGTGCGAGGCGGGCAGATGGCGAGTGGACGACTAGCGGCCAGCAAACATGCTGTGTAGCCTGCCTCGAGCACTCTGGTTACACCACCATGGGGCTCTGGCCAGCCCAGTCCAATGCTGCACACTGGGCGCGCAAGCCGAGCGTGGTGGCTGGGCAAGGGATGCGTGGTGGCCGAGTTGCACTCTTAGGCCGACATGGCCTTTTGTTTCTGCACAGTCGCCGCCGCGCGAGGGAGAGGGAGCGAGGGAGAAGGGGAGAGAGAGAGAAAGAGAGAGAGAGAGAAAGAGAGAGAGAGAGAGAGAGTGAGTGGCGGGCGTCGAGTGCCCCGCCATGGGCCAGAGGGGGCGGCGCCTCGCATTGCCCGTCGGCTGCATGCCCGTGACCGGCGTACATGCGTATACATGTATATGTATGTGTGTTGGAGGACGAGGTTGCTTGAGTGGTCTGGACAGGGACGGCGCTGCCCGCGTCCTTGTCCCAATCAGTGCAAGCCGCATGGGTGCCTGTGTTGGGGCCGGCTCCGTGGCGATCAGCGGGGAGCATCCCGTTATCATCCAAGTACATTACATGGCAGCATCGACTATTACTACATACATACATGTATACACACACACACACATGCAATGAACGAGTGCATGTACTGTACCTAGGGCGGCACCGCAGGGGCCATTCGCCAATGCGCATGTACTACTGCCAGTAGGGACCCGATGCGGGAGCTGGCCGTGTGTATGCATCAGGGCACGGCACTTGGTAGCAGGTAAGCTTTTAGTCGCCTCCAAAGCCGCCGAGCATCCGCCATGGGCATCGACCTGTTCGACTTAGTGCATGAGGCTGAGCAGCAGCGGCAGCAGCAGCGGCACAATTCAGTTTGACCGGCCATCAGCGGCCGTTGCTTGGCTCTGGTTTGGCCTCGTTTGACCCTCTGAACCACAACATACTAATACGCCACATAGACACCATTGCCATCTCTCTCTCTTCCCTCTGCCGACCACCCTCCCGTGCGCCATGCTACGCCATGGCAGAAGAGGTACGCCGTTCCCCGCGCCCCCCCGTGTGATGCTGATGCCCGCACCCCCAGGTTAGCCCGCCCACGAGCGATCCACCACCAGCGGCCATGTCGTCTTTCCGAGAAGCTGTCTATGGACGAATCGACCCCCCGAGCCCGTCTCACGACTCGGGCGTCCAAGTCAGTCCCACCACGCCGTCGCACTATGGCTATCCAACCCGCAAGCGCTACTACATCTTCCCACCCAACATCAACGGCCATGGGCGTCTCGTGCCCGCTCGTCGGACAGTGCCACATGCGGTCGGATGCGTGCTTGTTGTCGCCGTCTTTGCATGGGCCGTATGCTCGGCTTTATTTGCCTACACGCTGCTGGGCGGCCATGACTGGAGGCCGGGCCCAGGACATCATGGTTAAGGGGATCGGGTGCTTAGTGCCATGTATGTACATGCCGAGTCGAGAATCCGAGTAATAATGCATTCGGTTACAAGGAAAAAAGAAAGAACCCAAAGACGATTATGCGTGAATGTATGCCCGACAAGGACTTGATGAGGCCGACGAACTAACGCAATAGCCGGCTAACCAGGCGAGCGGCGAGGGGAAGATACCTCGGCTCAAGGCGCGCGCGCGCAACGCGAGCTGACGCTCCCAGGACAGCCAGCAGGCCAGCATACCGTAGCCAGATTACTGTCTGTACACGACGACCTGCACACCTGCTGAAAACGCGCCGACGCCCACAGTGCCACCATGTCGTCGGTCAAGCCGCAAACCACTCCGCCCGCCACGTCGCACGTTGTCCTGTCGTACCCGGCCGACCATGTCCTCCTTGTCACCATCAACCGCGAGAGGCAGATGAACAGCATCCCTTATGAAGGGCATCACGAGATGGGCTCCGTGTTCGAGTGGTTCGACGCCGAGCCCAATCTGCGTGTTGCCATTGTGACGGGCGCGGGCACAAAGAGCTTCTGTGCTGGCCAGGACCTGTTGCAGCTGGAGAAGATCCAGAGCGGAAGGCTCCAGGCGACGCCGGGGCTTCTGCGCCACCCGACGAGCGGCTTTGGCGGATTGAGCAGGCGAATGGGCAAGAAGCCCGTCATTGCCGCCGTCAATGGAGTTGCGCTCGGGGGCGGCTTTGAGATTGTTTTGGGCTGGTAGGTTGGCGTCTGCGCGCGCGCACACGCAGCAGCAGCATGGCTAACCGTCCCGCAGTGACATGGTCGTGGCCGCGCCGCACGCCAAGTTTGGCCTTCCAGAGGCTCTCCGGGGCATCTTTGCCAGCGCCGGGGGCCCGCCACGCCTGGTGCGCAATGTCGGGCTGCCTGTGGCGTCTGAAATGGCGCTGACGGGCAGGCCCATCACGGCACAGAGGGCCAAGGAACTCAACCTCGTCAACCGCATCTCGGCGGCGGGCGAGACGGTCGTCGACTCGGCGCTCAAGCTGGCCATGGAGATTGCGGCCATCTCGCCCGACTCGGCCATTGTCACGCGGGCGGCGTTGCGCGAGGCGTGGGAGACGGCCAGCGTGGAGCGGGCGACGCAGGTGACGGTTGAGCAGTACAGCCACGCCCTCTACTCGGGCGAGAACACGCTCGAGGGCCTGCGGGCGTTTGCCGAGAAGCGCGCGCCCCAGTGGCGGCCGTCCAAGTTGTGATGGCGGTGATGGCGGTGATGGCGGTGATGGCGGTGATGGCGATGATGCTGATGACGATGCATGCTGGAGGTGGCAGGTGGAGTAGCCGTAGTGGTAGTGGTAGTGGCAGTGGTAGTGGTAGTGGCAGTGGTAGTGGTAGTGGTAGTGGTAGTGGCAGTGGTAGTGGTAGTGGCAGTGGTAGTGGTAGTGGCAGTGGTAGTGGTAGTGGCAGTGGTAGTGGTAGTGGCAGTGGTAGTGGTAGTGGCAGTGGTAGTGGTAGTGGCAGTGGTAGTGGTAGTGGTAGCAGCAATGGCACTGGGTGTTGGTCTGGTCTGTGTGCCGTGCTGTGCTGTGCTGTGCTGTGCTGTGCTGTGCTGTGCTGTGCTGTGCGGTACCCATATCACGTGGACGCTCGACAGCGACTACGTTCGACTACATGTACGGAGGTGCCTCACAAAAGTTTTGTCCTGCCAAGAATAATTTAGCCGAAATCTGGCCGCTCTCCTACACAACGCCTATCTCTCCCCTCTATATACTCATT